TAATATTTATGTTGGTTTCAAAGAATTTTATATGGCTATAAATCATATAAAGAGACTAAAGACGATTCAACACCTAAAATCCATAACTTGAACTTTGTATGCAGGAATAAGAAATAAATTTGCTTTGACTAAGCTGGATTATGTTTGATTAAGTGAAATTATTTTAATACATATTTCATTGCATTTACTCAAACTGTGTTGAAATGTATAAAGAACAAACTAATAAACTTTCTCTTTAAATATTAGTTTTTACTTTATTTTCTTATTTAGCTTTATAAATATGCTTTTTGTGTTGTCTGCATTAAAGAAATTTTAATCATTTTTAAGTCAGTTACATTTTTGTTTCTTTTGTATATGTAATCCATATTGCATTCTAATGACATTAAAATAATGAAAAATATTTTATTTAATATTTTCCTTTACATTAATTTCATTCAGTATTATTTTACTCCTAAAGTTTATAAAAAATTATATATTATTAAGAACAGATAAAAAATGCATTCATGTAAAATGATGAAAAATGTAAAAATAATCTCTCAACAAACCTTTAACTGTTGGGAAAAAATGAGTAATACTACATGCAAACATTTTCGGATCACTCCCTGGGTTCTTTCTCAAGCAAAGATTAGTTACAGGGAGGGATCAGAAAACATTTGCGTGTAGTATTACTCATTTTTTCCCCACCGGTTAAAGGTTTGTTGAGAGATTATTTTACATTGATCCGGTGTGTGAAGATTCTTTATATAAATGTAAAAATGTATTTGGTATTAAAAGGTATTGCACTTGTAACATTTTAACTGCTAACTTTTTTCTTTTTGAACATATTCAGATTCTAAAATTGAAATCTTAAAACCAAAGTATTTAAATCTTATTTTCTTAAATTTTTAATATTTTTTTTTTATTTAATAAAGAAAATGTAAGAATATACTTACTCAAAATTTTTTACCAATTGATATAAACAGAGTAATGCACCCATCCATCCGGACATCTCTGGTGACTGTAAATATATCGATACCTTATCTACAATTCCAGTCCACCGTGCTGGAAAATCATGCTTCACAATAGTATTGACACAAACTGCTAATTGAACCCTATAATAATAAAAGTTTAATATAATATTTTGCATTGAATTACCACATCAAAATCATTTATCTTCAGTATTTTTATGCACAATTTAACTTTGCTGGCAGAAAATAATTCCATTTTTTAATTATATATTATCAAATTCAATTTAAATTAAAAAACTTAATAAATTTTAAATTTATCTTAGCAAAACATCTCATTTAGCTGAATCAACTATCCCATATACCATTAAAATAATAGAGTTAGAGATTTTCAGTTAGTTAATGATTCTAAGAAAGCAACCCTGCTCATTATAAATGCAATGATTTCTTATTTAATTGTAAAAAATACTTTTGTATTTTTTACAATTATTGTTTTTTACAATTATTGTATATTGTTCTGTATTTTATTTATTTATCTATTTCTATACTTAACAGTAACATTTAACAAAATATTTTTTAATTTAAAAACTCAATAATTTTAAAATAAGAATCCCTATAATATAAAATTAAGTTTTTTTCAATAAAAACAAGCAATTGTTTATTGTGACATCACAATGCTGGGCTGCAATTTTTAATCATGTTTTTAATTTACTTAATATAAAATATATGTGTGAGGGTCGTAAAAGCGCGTAGAAATTTCGACTAATTACAAACTTTAACGGAAGAAAGTTTAGAGGATAGAATCAGGTCAAGGGGATGTGTTAGTGACAAAGCCCAGATGAGACGAAAACTTTCTCGAATTGTAAAACAAACGCGACGCGACGATAAATAACAGGGGGGAATGTCGACAGAGAGAGAGGGAGAGCTTTGTCGGGATGCGCGCGAACAAATATCGGGTCGAAGCAAGCGGGAGAAAGGGGGGTCTAAGAACAAAAGGGATATCTGTTAAGTAAGAACGCGGTAGGGGATAGATGGCCACAAGAACATCTGGTGAACCGTTTGGGTTCCAAGATGACAGAGAAAAGGGACATAACGGAGTAAAATACGAGCGCGAACGTTAAAGGACCGTCATCACCTCTCCGACCTTTTCCCGACCCGAATCGGTCTCGGGTTTCGCCTAGAAACAAAGGAATGACCAATCGGAGTAAGGGAGAGGGTGAAAGGGACCAATCAAAAGGGTGAGATTCGGGGAAAATCTTATAAAACCCCCGAGTCTCAAGGACACGATGGCGATTCTCCCCAAAGACGAGTGCCAAGAAGACGCCAGGTCATCCGTACACGACCGTCCAAGCTTCTCCGCATACTCAGAGGAAGGAAGAGTGTATACGAACACCGGACATCGCCCGTTCTCCGTCGGACTCTTCTTCAAGGAAGCCCCGGGGCACTCAACAGCACCTGCCGGCCAACATTCCCAATTTTTGTTATTCATAATATGTAAGTTAACTTCATGTCAAAATAAATGGTTTTCGTGTAAGACACTTGTCATCTCTGTCTCCTACCGCCACCACCCACATACGGTTTGACCCTAGGTTTTCCTGACGAGCAATTAACTTACTGCCCCCAAAATCGGCGAACTTACATATGCTCTCCACCTCATCAGTAGTGTCTTGCCCTTAAAAACATCATACTTTTCCTTTAACAATAGAGTCATGCTGTCATCTAACACATCAAGTGTTAAATTTCATAACTGTTAAAATTAAGTCACATATCTATGTTAACTAAAGTCAGCTGTTAAAAATATGCTAAACTTTTCTGTTGAGCATGGGAGAATACCGAATCTTCCGATGTACAGCTTGATTTTACTTTTCATTTCCATGTTAGACAAGTTCCACTATATATAGGTTAATTTACATTGAATTTTGCAGAAAATTCAAGAAATTGAAGAAATCTTCTGTTAATGACAGGTTTTTGCTATATACAGGTTCCATAATAGACAGGTTTGACTGTAACTAATTATCAAAAGTAGTAATTTTTAATTTAACACTGTGTATGGTAGTTCTGTTGGATCCCTTTCTTACTGTCCCATATGTCTTAGTAGATCCTTGTTTAACCAGTTTTTCCGGTTTTACTTTAGCCTATACTTAATTGTAATGATAACAGAAGAGTTTATTTATGGTTTGGATAAGGGTGTGTTTATGGTTTGGAAACACATTAAATGTATGTAAAAATTTATGAATAAAATACAGGTTGTCCAAGAAAAATCTACATTATTATAAATTTTTATTTAAAAAATACAAAGTAATCTATCAAAATGCAGTTTGTGGTAAAAGAAAGATTAACTCAAAGTTTTTTCAGTACAAAAATTAATACAAAAACTGAATTTGTTTTATGTACTGTATATAGGTATACCTCGTCTTATGTCGGCAATTGGCTCCAAGAGAGGCAACATAAGTCAAATTTACTTGTCACTAGGCTAAACCATAAATTACCATTCCTGGTTCTGTATTTTATTTATTAATGCATTTTTAATAATATATGGTTAATAAGGATCTATTTTAAGCTTACAAACAAACAAATTTTAGTTTTTAATATAGTACAGAAAAAAGTAATCTAAATTTACGAATGCATGTACAGTAAATACAGTACATACTTGTAAATGTATATATTTTAATATAATTTTATGTGCTTTAAACGCTTTTCTAGTGATATTACGACTTCAATATTTGCGGCGGACAGACGTAGTCGAATAAAATGACTTAAACTTGATTTTTATTTTTCTATATACTTTTTTGACAAACGACGTATAATCAGGAAAGACGTAACTTGAAACAGTGTAATTCGAGGTATACCTCCATTGAACAATATTCATATTTTTTTGTGAACTTTATGTTTAGTATATTTTTGGTCACAATATTGAAATCATTAGTTATTTAGATTTGGTACAAGCCTTTATCATTTATTTTTAGACATTTTTCACATACATACAAGCCCATTTAGAAATATTTCATATTTAAATAATATATTATCATCTAAAATATCTTCAGTATTTATGGTTATTGTTCATGATATTGCAGAAATATATAACATTAGTATTTGCAATCTTGCTTCTGAAGAACTAGTAGCACATAAATCAGAATATTCTTTGGAAACAGAATATATTACAGGTAATAAGAAAACATTCTACTTTCCTTATTTTTGTTATCATATACAAGGTCTCAATCATTGTTATCAAGAAGACTAATGTTATCATCATTAACACAATCATCAATATCATATACCAGATGCTGCATCTTATAATCCTCAAACACTTTTCTTCTATATATTCTGTAAATATGTACACAGAAATAATAATTCAGATCCAGATAAGGATGATATCAGCACTTAACAATGGAATACATTAATACATCTCTGTTGATGTTATGCTTAAAACACACAAATGTGCAAAGCTGTAGTTTTGAACTTATTTCAAATTACATTCTTTTCCATTGCTGTTCCAAAGATTCTGGAACACTAGATTTTAAAACAATCTTCTAAAGTTATTTAATAAGGCTATCAATATGAAAAAGAGACGTAAGTAGTCTCAAAAACATTTTATTGGGGTTCAAACAGACTTCTTAATAGTATACATAGACTTCTGGACTTCTTTCTATATAAGTATACACTCATTGACAAAAAAGTTACCACCAAGGGTAAAGCATTGAAATCAAAATTTTATTACTGCAAACATAAGACCTTGGTAATAAGTGATCGTAATATCATAAAGCAACAATTTTCCTATAGAAAAATTAACAATTTAAACAAATCTTTAATATCTCATAAAACCTACTCTTGCATGGATACCTGTGACAATATGATCAGGCATGGAGAACACAGACGCCATATACTATTCTGCAACAGATTTACCCAGATATTGCAATTCCTAGTTCAGATCTCTCATACTCATAGTTCATCAAAATTGGTATCCACAAATGCTTGATAGCCAATAGTCCTCGAGACAAGACAGGACAAGAGAGTATGGCAACCCAGAGGAGACATTCCTGGAAATCTTAGCTGTGTACAGCCAAGCATTTTCTTGCTGGAAAATGGCTGTTTGCAGCTGTCATACAAGGCAATATGAGTATTTCCTGAATGTATTGTTGTGTCATCAAGATTCCTCATATGACTACTATTATAGAAGTGATTGACTGTCATATGGCATGACTTTCCAAGACCAGCAGGTCAGCAGTATAGGCAACATGCTATTCAACAGTAAAGGCAAAATTGAAGTACTCATAAGAGGTCACTTATTAGCTAACAAAAGCAGGATTTATTGATAAAGATGATACACTTCCAGTCTATAGCAGGGCTTCTTAAACTTTTTATTCACGACCCTATTTATGATTGTGATTTTTTTCGCGAACCAAAAAAAAAATATAAAATAAAGAATGATATATACAAATATATACAGAAACACACATACAAATTTGCAAAAACAATAATGGTGTACTGCCACAGTTCACTCTTGTGTTACAATGGAACAGAGACAACTGAATACGCTGAAAAGCGACAACACTACACTAGTTCACGCTATGGTGTTGCTGAATCGTTGTCTCGCTGCACCGGAAGTGACACAAAGCGTGCCATTTTCAATTTAACCTCGAAGTAGCCGAGTCGGGACAAAAACAATTTATGCCAATTCAATAATATTTCCATCCTAAAAGTAGAAGACGACACGCAACATAAATAAAAAAATGAATTTTAATTAGAAAATTTTTTTAAAATGTTTTATTTTTTCCCCATTATCTGTGGAGGGTTCCAGGATGCGCCACCGACCCACAATAGTTATTAATCGTATCTAAAAATTTTATTGTCTACAAAATTTAAAAAACGTTTCGTAACAGAGACGAGACCTCGTGGTTTGCCGTTAACTTAAACAGATCGATTCCAAAAGTGTCATTAGTTTTTCCCGCAACGCGTAGGGGTTCCAAGTTACTATACAGGTAGTTCATNTAATTAGATATTTTATTCGTTATATCGTACAATAATTAAACAAACAACATTATACTAGTCACTAGTCTATTCAATGCAGTACGAATTTGGCGTTAGCGTTGTCCCTTGGCATCGGAATTTTGTAATGAAGAGGGCGATACTAGTGAAGGGTTTTATTGAAGGGGACGATACTACGTTGAAGGGGGTGACGATTCGTTAGAAGTTGAGAAACACTGGTTTAAGCAATTCACGCTTGTCATGGTAACAATGTCATGGTACTACTGCAAATGAAGCTGACAATGTTTAGTGCTAATATCAGGATGTACACTTTAGCAAAATTATTAGCTAAGTGCTTATATATTTGGAAGAAAAATATATCTAAATGAGCAATATAATGGGGTACAATATAACAAGGGCTAATGTATTATTTTGATTTGTTTAATAAACCAGCTTTTGATTACATAAGATCATAGAATATAACTTAAATGATTTACAATTAAATAATTCATCATCAAAATTATAACAATAAGCTCTTACAGTATAAAAACATTTAAGTATTACTTCATTATTATTTGCTTAAAATTGTATCTCTAAATGTACAATTAAATAAAATTTAATTTAAACAACACACACTACAGCTGAAGAAAATTTCAAACAACAAACTCGAGTTTCCACATCATTTGGAAAAAGTATACTAATAGATTAAAATAACAACTATTCTAAATTATAGAGATACTAATTAAAAATAAAACTGGTTGTATTCAAAATTTTCAACCTGAAATTTAATTATTTTGAATACATTACATTTTAATATGCCTTACTTCAATTCTATGATGTACATTTTCCTAAAATTTAATATTTATGAATCAGGATGTAACTTACAATAATAACATTGTACTATCTAAAGATTCACAAACTGTTGACAACATTTATATCAAAAAATTCATAACTGTCAGGTAAACTAATATATTTATCATTATCTGTATAATGAGCAACTTTCATATCTGTTTATCCTGTTATAATTTCAATTATATGCAAAATTTTTTAACAAATTCAATTTGAAAATTTCTTTGAAGGATATCCATTTTATCTAAAGATGAATGATGATGATGATGTTTACTTTGTTCTTAAAAGTCTAATTACTGCATGTATTAAACATTTAAATGTCTTCAAAAAAGTATTTTATAATTAAAGCTAGGATAATTAGGCACTAAAAATCATATAAATACTTATAATTTTCCTTTTAACAAAACATAATGCACTTAAGCTATATCATGGCAATGCACTATTTTTAAAATTAAACTTAAAAAATTTTATAAAATAAATAATGAATAACCTGATAAGTTCAGGAGCAAGAACAACTGCATCCACAATGGCATCACGAATCATAGCACGATCTTGTTCGTGAATACTGAATGGAATTGGTTTTCCCATTTCACTTTCTTTTTCTTGCCAAAACTGTGAAAGCATATTCTTCAAATAAATAACACCTGCTTGTCTGATTGGAAACTCGACATTGTTCATCATAACTACTTGAAGTAAACATGGTGCAAATCCAATTATTTTGTGAACCTGAAATAAATTTTTGATAAATATTTACATTATTTTTTATGTATTAATATTTATTCTTTAGTTAAATAAATTTTTCAATAGTATCATTAGTGTAATGCCAAGAACATTTTAATAAATTAAATCATTATCAAATCTTTACCAGGCATTAGTAGTTATACAAGTTTATCAATATCTCATTCACTTCAAAACATTAAACATAATTACTTTTATGTTTAACGTTGATGGTGATTTGATTTTATCATAATATTAAGAAAAAATATATTTATATATCCTATTTTGTTAAGTTCTTTAAAATCTCTGGTAAGTTCTCTGTTACAAGTCAATTAGTTACTTTATGACTGTATCATGCGACATCACAACACGCAAGATCTCGTTAATTCTTTTCTATCATATCTCTTCAATGATACTTTACATAATGTTATATAAACATTATGTAAAGTATCATTGAACATGCAACAATTAATTAGCCAATGAAACAGCATTGAACATGCAACAATTAATTAGCCAATGTTAATGCTAGTTGTCAATTATAAATATTCAACTTCCAAAGTTTCACACCACCTTTCTTTTTTTTCTAGCACTTTCTTTAATTTAACTAATATTTTCAACCATTTTAAATGGCCACCTTCAAGTTAAAGAAAATAGAACATCAGTTATAAAATAAATCACAACATAAATTTAAAACATTGAGATCTTGTGACATCATAGTTTTGAATAAAATAAATAAATACAGAAATAAACAGAAATAAAATTATATGTTAAAATTAACAAGCATAGTACAAAATAAAAAATAAACATCACACAAAAAATTTATAAAGAGACATTTATAAATTCGTAAAGTCATATGATCTTATTGGAATAAGTAAATTAATGCACTTTCTTTAAGGGATTGTCTAGGAGCGATTGCCAGGCTGTGAATAATAACTTGGCATCCTTGCTATTAATGCACTTCTCTTTAATGGATTTTGTGAAGATTTCTAATGTTTCTAGTGTTCTTAGTTTGCCATTGTCATATATTGGTGTTAAAATCTTAGCTTCTTTCCATTTGACTGTTATACCCAGCTCACTTGCATATTGGGCTAAAATGGTATTAAACTTATTGTTATAAGTATGATACTTGTGCTCCACTATTCTTTTTGTTAACGATCTGTTTGTTGAGCTTATGTATGTTAACTTTCTGTTGGTATTAAACCTATTGTCATCTAGTGATACTGAGTATATTCCAGGTTTTCTGGCTTTGTTGCCTTTATCTTTGGCATTAGTAAGAAGTTTATATTTTGATGGGTATGCTAAATCTGCCTTGACCTTATTGGCTATGATTTTATAAGTTTGGCTCAATCTAGGGTCAAAGTCAACCCACTATGCATTTTCTTTGTTGTTTTAGAGATTTTGTATTTACTGCACCTGTTTCTATGTTGTCCTGTATCTTGTGAGCTAGCCTTTCTATTAACTTAATGCTGTAACTGTGGGCTATGCCAATGTATTTAATGCATTCTATTTCTTGTAGTGCTTCCTTGATGTTAGAGCAGTGAGTAAAAGCTCTTTGAAGCAGAGTCCTGTATGCTGTTATTTTATAAGTATACGGATTGTTAGATGTTGAAGGGATAAACAAAGATTGTAGGTTAGATTCATGATACACCTTTGTAGTTAGAAATGATTGTATAACTACCGTTTCTATTAACTATTTATTTCTGTTTATTTCTGTATTTATTTATTTCAAAATCATGACATCACAAGATCTCAATGTTTTAAAAGTTATATTCTGATTTATTTTATAACTGACGTTCTATTTTGTTTAACTTGAAGGCAGCCATTTAAAATGGCTGAAAACGTTAGTTAAATTAAAGAAAATGCTAGAAAAAAGAAATAAAGGTGTTGTGAAGCTTTGTATAATAAGTTCTAGTTTATTACACATAGAATTCAACTTTCCATAAAATGCTGAATTTCAATAAAGATCACTTTATCACCAACCTAAGCAAAATTTTGAAAAGAGTAATATCTACCTAATTACTTTGATCATGAAAACAGCAACATTTCATAATATTAATTTATCTATCTGTTAATTAAATTTCTATTATAAACAACATCACTAGACCTGATATATTATAAAACTACACACCAACCAAATTTTTCTCCCTGCAGTTCTAAACTATTTAAATTAATTAATTAATTTATAATTATTAATGTTAATACGAGATGGCACCTAACACTTACCTCTAGAGCCAAATTGGTACATAATTCATTTAGTAATTAGCCTAAACTAGCCCGATAGAATTTCAGCATTTGGTTGGTGTCTAAATTTCTATTAACCAATCCAATCTTATTTTAAAAGTAGATTTAATAAATTTGAAAAATATGTAAAATTGTACAAAAAACTACATTTTTAAATACAGTCTTACATCAAAATAAAAAAATTAGAATGTAACAAACACTAAGAAAAATTGACAAGTGAAGATTGGTAATTACCAAGCCACTTTTTAAAGAAATCTATCTCATTTTAAAGAGATTCTCTCTCCAATTAACATACTGAAGGTTGTTTTCTGCAAAATTTAGCTTCTATACAAAACCTGAAAAAAGATTTCATATTACAGTAGAGCATCGATTATCCAAATCAATTGGGGACTGGGGTTGTTCGGAAGATCGATGTTTCGGATAACCGATTATGTACAAAAAAAATATATTAATTTATCCCATCTTGACATTTTTCTCCATTGCGTGTCACTTCGCGTTAAATTTTCGCCAATCTTAAGCCTAACGAAGACTATTGTATCATTAAAAATTATTTTTTTATTTTGTACGAACAAAATAAATATATTGAAAAATATAAAAACAATAAAAAATTATACTTCAGAAGTTAATTTAGTATCAAAAATGTAAAATATTTGAGTAGCCCAAGACATAGCCAAAGATTGCAGCGCCACAGCACTGGCGAAAATCTAAATTTGCCGACTGGAATTCTTTCGGACGATTGACGTTTCAGATGATTGACTTTCGGATAATCGACGCTCTACTGTAATAGAACAATATAATATAAATCTTGATAAGTTTAAGTATGTAAATATCAGTTATATCTAATTTATCTACAGTATTTGAATCTTATCTGAGCAAAAAATTTGTATAACAGTATTTCTCTTAAATATTATATCTATTAATAAGACCTCAATTGANATCTGGAAACAGGGGACCTAATTCTTGCATTCTGTGAAAACGGGTAAGATTGGCTATACATAAGTTTTTATTTCTATTTTTGCATTTTGAAATGTATAATAAAGTTTGTGATTGTTGCAAGGAACATTTTCTACCTAATAATTTTTTAATACTATTAGTTTGTGATACATAATATATTATTTTTTCTGTCATAATGACTAACTTTTTTCTGTACCCCTAAACAACCTATCGCGTACCCCTAGGGGTACGCGTACCACAGGTTGGGAATCGCTGGTGTAAATAATTAAAATTAACCTATCTAGTAAGTTTTAAACTGTACATAACAGCTGTTTTCCATCATTTTTAATTAATTATAATCCATACATCCATATAATATTAAAAAATTTGATTGCAGAAGCAATTTAAGATCAGTAGATGATAATGGTCTTTTTTATTACCTTGTTTACAAAAGGATGACTCCTACCTGTTACAGTATACTGTAATTTGAAAAAGTGTTTGCAGAAAGCTGTTAGTGGTCAGTCATTGACATTGAAGTCAAAAAGGAATGACTATTTTGACATTGGAAAGGTAAAGTTGCCAGATAAAGCATGTACTGGAAATTCATAATAATTCCAGAAAACAAGTCTGTTGTTAAAATAAGATCAAGATGTAAAAAATATGTAGATTTATAGAATTCTTTTTATTCATTTTAATTTGCAGAATTAAAACAAAGTACTTATGTACATTTCTTATCTTGACATTTTTAACTTCAAAATCCACATAGGGTGTTATTTTTGCTGGATGTCAATTCATCAATTTTCTGTAATAAAATTAAGCAGACTAAAAACAGTTATGTGCAGTTTAAAACACCAAATGAACTAAGAATCTGGACAACTTATCCATCACCACTTCTTATTAATATTTGCAATACCTACACATTTAAATAAGGTAAAATCTTTCAGTATTTTTACAGAAATAAGGAATTCTGCAGAAGAAAAAGACCTTCAGTATGTTTATCAGAGAAGTGAGATCTACAAAATGATACACATTTCATTAAAAAGTGTCATTGATAATTCCCGACCTTCTTTTGTAGATACAACATAATTATTTAAATCAATGATTTACTACTGTTTTTGCTTAACAATTTTCCAAAACTGATTTAATCTACCAAATCCTTTACATACTAATACAAAATATGAATAAATTACAGGTATGATAAAAATTAAAAAAGGAAACAATTATATCTTTTTTAGTTAAACACAGAATTATGTTCAAAATTGTGTTTTACTGTAATAAAATTTTAAAATATATCAATTATTATTGTATATTACTATTTTTCTTGGTCGGCATCACAAATTAATCAAACTGAAATTATACTACACCAGGTTAAAGTAAACAATAAACAATAAAAGTAAACAATAAACAAACGTACCAGCAACAGGTTCCCCCCTGGTATGTTTGTTTATTATCTATTTTTATTGTTTTTAAATATAAAAGTAAATTTGTTCACTGACACTTAAATGACCCCCTAGTAATTTAGTGATTCCAAGATGAACTAAATTTTAATCTTAGGATGTTGTTTGTGACCAGGTGGTAAACCTGAACCAAACTATGAATTAAAAAGTTAATACAATATAGTTTGATAAACACAAAATCTAACAACTTTGTGCATAATGAAATATTCTGATTCATCTATAAAATATATTCTCAATAAATGTCAACCATCATGTATCACTGAAAAATAAGAGACTACAAACATTAGATACATTAATAATGTTTCCATTCAAGCATAGTTATTTGACAAAGGAGCAGGACCATCCAAAATTCATCAATGAATAATTGCAGTATATGAG